CACATTTTTGCAAAATCTTATGGAAGGTCAAAATATTACTAAACCCCTTTCTGTAAAAAGAAAAAAAGCAAAAGTAAAAAAGAAAGAGAAAGAGCACAATCCACTGTGCACTGGGCCAAGTGCACAGTGCCTGGCCCGAGCCTCGGCCCACTCCAGCTAGTCCGGCCCAGCCCCTCCTCGGGTCGCCTTCTCCCCCTGTTCCCCCGACCGGGGTCGCAACAGGGGCGAGCCCCGCCGGACCGCCTCGCCGTCGACAACGAGGGAGGGGATAAGAGCGCCCCCTCGACGCCTCGAGTCCTCCCCCTCACCTGCCGCCACTCCCACTTTCCCTCGCCCACTCCGCCCGCTCTTCCTCTCCTCTCTCCCTTTAGATCCACCGCTTCCGAGCGCGTCCATGGCCGCGACGCCGTGCTGACCGCGGCCACCGATGTCCCTTCCCCTCTCCGACAAGTCCCCGAGTGCTGCCGTGCCTAGCTACATCTTCTCCGACCACGGACTTGAGCTCGTCGCCCCTAGAGCGCCGTCACGCCGTCGTCTTCAACCTCCGTTCGCCCGGGATCACCGCCACCGTACGTCGCCGTCGAGCTCCCTCCGGCTCCCTTGTCCACTTCCCTACACCCGCAGTGAGCAGCCGCTTCGATCTCCCCTCTCCTCGGCCTCTCCTAGTAGCCGTAGCCGCCGTTCCCGTCGCCGCCCGAACGCAGCTCCGCCGCGAGGCTCGCCGCCGACGTTGTGGTCGTTGACCTGCCCGCCCGAGCACTCGAACATGCTCATGTCCCCTCACTGCGGCCGCTCGTGCCGCTAGATCCCCTCCCCGTGCCCTCTGTCGCCATTGGCGGAGATGGCCGAACTCCGGCGTCCGCCTCGCCGCGTGCCGTCGTCGTTTTAGGTCTTCCCGAGGCCAACCGTTAGCGCCACCTGACGCGCCTCGCTCCCCTCTTTCGAACGCCACCTCGCGCGTGCAAAACGGTGGCCAGAGCGCGTTTTCCGACGAGTCCCGAGGCCTCCGCCGCATTCTGGCATCGCTGCCGACGAGTCGCCGGCCCCGCTGAGCTGGCGCCGCGTGGGACCCATCCATGATCGCTGACGAGTGGGCACTTGCGCCCTTTTGACCGCGTTGACCAAAGTCAACACGGGGCACTGTTCATCCCTCGCGCTGACATGTGGGCCCCCCTCTATTATATTAGTCTAATAGCGTTTTATAAATAAAAAGGATTAGTTAACCTAAAACATTCACTGACGCCCGGGGCCCACTCCTCTAATTATCTGTGCTAGTTTAGTTTTGATCCAGTGTTAAAATAACAGAGGCTGACATGTAGGTCCCACTGGACCCACAGGTCAGGTTTGACCTGGTCAGCCGTCTGTTGACCTGCTGATGTCATTGTGACATCATGCTGATGTCATATATCTTTTTCTGTAATTAAAATAATTCCAAGTTATTGTTTAAATCTTTAGAAATTTGTAGAAATTAAACCGTAGCTCGGATGAAAATGTTTTCTATATGAAAGTTGCTCAGAAAAATCCAACGAATCCGAATACGCGGCCCGTTCATCTGTCACATGCCCCTAGCATGCTGAACATGGAACCGTTCCCTCTCTTTCATTTGTCCAGAATCCGCCTAACGCCGGGAATTCATCCTCGGATGTTTATCCCCTCCGTCTGCAACGTGTAGTACTACGTTAGGGCAGCCCTAGCTCTGCCCGTCGTCATGTTGTGCCTTGTGATGCATTGTTTGCTCTGTATTTACTGTTTCTTCCCCCTCTTCTCTTCGGTAGACCCCGAGACTGATGATGCCGCTGTGATCGACTACGTCACCGACGACCCCTCCTTCTTGTCTGAGCAACCAGGCAAGCAAGCCCCCTTGAGCATTCCAATATCACCCATTTCTTTTCCTCTCATGCTTGCATTAGAACTGCTACTGCTTTCTGTATGATCCTACTCTGATGCATAGCCTGTTGTTGTTACCTGCTTTCATACCTTACCTGCTTATCCTAAACTGCTTAGTATAGGATGGTTAGTGATCCATCAGTGACCCCACCTTGTCCCAGTTGTCCCGCTTTATGTTCGATGACTCGATCAACGTGATCGATGTCTAGGCTCCGACACCACACATCACCCCCTAGTTGTACGACTCTGGAGAGTTACCATCGAGTGCCGAGGGTGGAACCTCTTACATCACTCCTGATGAGATCTCCGTAGTGTAGCTTTACGGTCGAGGTCATCGAGGGTGATTTCCTCCTTAACCACTTCCGTTACGGCTCTGTCGTCCCATCAAACGAGAACCTCGAGGGTGGATCCTCTTACGTTCACCTTGATGACAACATCGAGTGGAATTCACCGGGGGTGATTCCTCGGGTTTTCCCCTTGGTGTTAGACACATAGTTACTATGGTTACTATGACTTTACACTGCGCCATGTTACTAAAGACGGGTCGACCCTGAGGGGTACCCGCGCGAGCTTAATAGCGAGTGATGTGGAGTCGGGTTGACCTGGAAGGTGCCCGCGAGATATTTACGAGGCGTGGCCGGGCATTCTTAGCCCTTGCCGCAAGTACTCGAGACGGGGCAACGGGGTCACATCTTTCGTGAGTCTCTGCTTGTTACCGCGCGTTCCTAATCCACTATGAGTTGGATATTTGATCTGAGGGGCCTCTGGCCTGATAGCACTAACCATCACGTGGGCATAGTATGGGCGTTCTGCATCGTATGCATCAGCCGAAGCTTAATAGACGTCAACGACTGAGCGGCGCGCGCCGGGTTGGACTGCGTAAGCACCTGCCTTGTTGAAGGTGGTAGCTAGGTCTGCTCACCGGCCGCCCACGCAACGTGCAGGAGTTCCCGGGGTGATGGCCCATGACCCCTGGGGGCATAGTTTTAGTCCGGCGTGCTGGCCTCTCTATTAAGCCTAGGTCGGGTTGTGGCGTATTGTTTGGCCGAGGCCGAGCATGACCCAGGAAAGTGTGTTCGGCCGGAGTTAATCGAGCGTAGTGGGTAAGTTGGTGCACCCCTGCAGGGAAGAAAACATCTATCAACAGCCTGTCCTACGGTAACGGACACTTGGAGTTGTATCCCGATCGATACAACTAGAACTGGATACTTGAGATGAGAAATGGATATGAGACTTGGATATGAAATGATAATTGGATAGTATGGCTCTGGGATTGCTTTCTCGCAGGGAGTCGAGAAAGGATCTCTGGCCGAGGTTGATAACATTACTGCTACTTTACTTTATGCTACTCTACTCCCTCTTGTTGCTGCAAGATGATGGTTTCCAGAAGATGCTAGTCTTCGACAGGCTAGGCTTTCCCCTTCCCTTCTGGCATTCTGCAGTTTAGTCCACAGATACGACCCATTCCTTTGACACAGATGCATACTTAGTTTAGATCTGATGTAAGTCTTGCGAGTACTTTGGATGAGTACTCATGGTTGCTTTGCTACTCCTTTTTCCCCATACCCGATTGTTGCGACCAGATGACGGATCCCAGGAGCTAGACGACGCCACCGGTGACTACTACTACCCGGAGGATGCTTACTACTACGTGAAGACCGCATACGACTAGGAGTAGTTAGGAGGCTCCCAGGCAGGAGGCCTTGCCTTTTCGTTCGTTGTTGCTTTTGTGCTAGCCTTCTTAAGGCAATCTTGTTTAACTTATGTATGTACTCAAATATTGTTGCTTCCGCTGACTCTTGTGTATTCGAGCCCTCGAGGCCCCTGTCTTGTAATATAAAGCTTGTATTATTTTGATTTGTGTCTAGAGTTGTGTTGTGATATCTCCCCGTGAGTCCTTGATCTTGATCGTACACATTTGTGTGTATGATTAGTGTATGATTGAATCGAGAGTGTCACATCTACTATGCGGTTATGCCTCTAAGTCGTGCTCCGACACGTGGGAGATATAGCCGCATCGTGGGTGTTACAACCCAGCTGCATCGAAACCGCGACGTGCTCTGTGCCCGCGCCGTCGTGGGCGGCGACAAAGAGGAAAGGAGGAGAGAGAAAGGGATGGGATGGATGAGTGGACTCTTTTGTTGGATGACAGATGGGCCAGCATGCATGTGCAGCGGACGCAGCCGGACGAAGAAGCCACCAAAAGCGCCCGCTTTGTGTCCGCTTCGGACCCATTTCAGTCTCAAATTTGGGATAAAAATGGATCCGCATAGACACAAAGCGGACGCAAAAAAAATGGGTCTTTGCGTTGGGCCGTCATTTTTGTCCGCGCGGATCCAAACGAACATGTGCGGACGAAATGGGTTGCCCCATTGAAGTTGCTTTGGAGAGAAAAAATTAATATAGATGACTCAAATTACTTTTTATCATGAGACATATGTATTCATATGTCATCATTGTACATGCTCTAATATAAACATGAAAAAAAAGGCGAAATAAAGAAGAGCGAAACGGGACGATAGCCCTCCGATCCACCAAAAGCAGACCGTATGTTGACCGGCAGAGCAGACCAGCAGAGTCGACTCAAACCCCTGCCTCCTCCACAAAAGCCGTTGCCACGAGGAGCAGATTATTGAACCAATGGCGTTTCGCCATATCACCATAACTGCCACGCTGACGCCTCCCATTCGCCGGGTACCCCCTGCCATGACGTGGCGGCGAGAAACCGGACTACCGGAGCTTCCTCTCTGGTCCTCCAAGCAGAAAAGTAAACGAAAAACAAGCACTCATCACAAATACAAACGGCGCGCAATTCGCCTGCTCCTTGCGACCTGAGTTCACCGCGGCGAAGCAGTGGCGTACGCGCGAACCTTCTAGAAGCTTCCCTTCGCTGCCCCGTCGACACCGCCGCGGTGGCGCCGTCCACACCCCAGGCGCCGGTCCTCTCCCGCCGCAAGCCCGCCTCCGCCGAGGCGAAGCCGTCGGAGGCAGCGACCACCAGCCTCGCCGGCGCCCTCGCGCGCGAGCGGATAAGGCGCCGCGGCGAGCGGGAGGAGGAGGAGGAGGCGGTGCCGTTCTGGCAGAGAACCTGGTTCCTGGCTCTGCTGCTCGCGATGGCCGCCGCGTCGTTCGCGCTCGCGCTTGTGCTCTACCTCGGCCTCGACCTCCCCGAGGCGTCGCCGTCGCAGTCCTATGCCGCCGACCCGGACACCGCTGTCGAGGTGGGTAATTCATTTCCGCCTCCCTCCTGGTAAGGTTGCGATTTGGGATGGCCGGGTTAGGGCGTTAAGCTGATTAGCGTTCTGTGTTTGGAACTGGGACCACTATGGATCGGATCAGTGACGCGATTGTTTCTCCAATTCCTTGTTAGATTTCCTACGGATCAGTGATCAAGTTGATGCATGAGAGGACCAAGTTTCGGCTGCATTCCCACGACGTGCCGTATGGATCTGGTAGCGGCCAGCAATCGGTCACCAGCTTCCCCAATGTGGATGACGCTAACAGCTACTGGGTATGTATCTCTCTAGCGCTGCATCAAACAAAACTTAATTGAACTAAGGCGCGAGGCCGTAGAAAATTATGTGTTTATTAATCGATTTACATTTTTTCCCGACTTCCAACACGATGCTGTTAACCTGGAATGGAAAGATCATTCTAGGCTATTTAGCATGCGAGTGTTTCAATCTGGTTTGCTCAGTTACTTGTCCTTTCTGTCAGGGGTGGAGCTGGAAAATTCACCCTGATGCACCGCTTTAACATGGTTTTAATTTTTTACGCAAAAGTGTGCTAGATAAATGTGTTCTGTAACTCCTAGCATGGATTATCTGACATAATAGCAGAAGATGTATACATACAAAAAAATACAAATCAAAATGCTTTATTAATTTACTTGGAAATGATGTTATGCGTTTCCAAATTAATACTTGGAAAATCACTCAGCTGAACGAAGTAATATCCTAATTAGGAGTAAAACCCATAGCCAATGCCCCACATTTTGCCAAAACTCCTATTATCTGAATTAGGTTTAATCTATTGGCAATATCTTAGACAAATAATGGCAAGAACTGAGAATGAACAATTATTACCAAATACTAACAATGGAAAATAAAAGGTACCGCGCTAGAGCTGCTTGGTCGCGGTGTTGATAGATCAGCGCAGTGTCGGCCGTCTTCTCCCTGTCTTGTGGGGCTGGCATAGGCTCTGCCGTGTGCCGGGCCTATGCACATTTGACATAGATTAATAAACTGAAATCTTTGCTTCGCAACAACCTAGTGCAGAGAATTAAAAATAAAGAACTGAGATAGTCAGGAAGGACGATTTGCACTTCATAACCCGAGAATTGAGATTTAGGACATCTACATATGATACCTTGAGCTGGGCAGCTGGAGGAAGGGGCACAACATCGGCCGTCCATTGTGGTCCATTGACCAGTCGCCTGTTTGTGTGACGGCATGCTTGATCGATCAAGGGGACGAAAGATCGATTTGTTGCTCTCCAGCTCCTGCACTTCCATCTCTTGGTTGACTGCTTGATGCCCAGCCACAGCAAACCCTACCAAAAGGCTGCAGCCCATAATGCCATGCCCAAAACAAGGCTTCTGCGTGTTCGTCTCTCCGACCTGATGCACCGTTGTCAGTTTAACCTGGTGCACAGGCAAACAACAGCACCTATAGTCCCAAACAAGTTGGGGTAGGCTAGAGGCGAAACCCATAAGATCTCGCGACCAACTCATGGCTCTGGCACATGGATAGCAGGCTTTCACGCACCCCTGTCCATAGCTAGTTCTTTGGTGATACTCTAATCCTTCAGGTCTCTCTTAACGGACTCCACCCATGTCAAATTCGGTCTACCCCGACCTCCCTTGACATTCTCTGCATGCTTTAGCCGTCCGCTATGCACTGGAGCTTCCGAGGGCCTGCACTAAATATGCCCAAACCATCTCAGACGATGTTGGACAAGCTTCTCTTCAATTGGTGCTACCCCAACTCCATCTCGTATATCATCATTCCGAACTTGATCCTTCCTCGTGTGGCCACACATCCATCTCAACATACGCATCTTCGCCACACCTAACTGTTGAACATGTCGCCTTTTAGTCGGCCAACACTCAGCGCCATACAACATTGCGGGTCGAACAGTCGTACTGTAGAACTTGCCTTTTAGCTTCTGTGGCACTCTCTTGTCACAGAGAATGCAAGAAGCTTGGCGCCACTTCATCCATCCGGCTTTGATTCGATGGTTCACATCTTCATCAATACCCCCATCCTCCTGCAGCATTGACCCCAAATATCGAAAGGTGTCCTTCTGAGGTACCACCTGACCATTACTCGGTTTTAGTTCTACTAAGCCTAAACCCTTTCAATTCCAAGATTTCTCTCCATAACTTCCTATTTGCCCCCGTCCGACTATCGTCAACTAGCGCCACATCATCTGCAAAGAGCATACACCATGGAATATCTCCTTGTATATCCCTTGTGACCTCATCCATCATCAAGGCAAAAATATAAGGGCTCAAAGCTGACCCCTGATGCAGTCCTATCTTAATCGGGAAGTCATCAGTGTCGACATCACTTGTTCGAACACTTGTCACAACATTATTGTACATGTCCTTGATGAGGGTAATGTACTTTGCTGGGACTTTGTGTTTCTCCAAGTCCCACCACATGACATTCCGTGGTATCTTATCATAGGCCTTCTCCAAGTCAATGAACACCATATGCAAGTCCTTCTTTTGCTCCCTGTATCTCTCCATAAGTTGTCGTACCAAGAAAATGGCTTCCATGGTCGACCTCCCAGGCATGAAACCAAACTGATTTTTGGTCATGCTTGTCATTCTTCTTAAGCGGTGCTCAAGGACTCTCTCCCATAGCTTCATTGTATGACTCATCAGCTTAATTCCACGGTAATTAGTACAACTCTGAACACCCCCCTTGTTCTTGAAGGTTGGTACTAATACACTCCGTCTCCATTCTTCTGGCATCTTGTTTGCCCGAAAAATGAGGCTGAAAAGCTTGGTTAGCCATACTATCACTATGTCCCTGAGGCCTTTCCACATCTCAATGGGGATACAATCAGGGCCCATTGCCTTGCCTCGTTTCATCCGTTCTAAACCCTCCTTGACCTCAGACTCCTGGATTCGCCGCACAAAACACATGCTGGTCTCATCAAAGGAGTCATCCGGTTCAATGGTAGAACTCTCATTCTCCCCATTGAACAGCTTGTCGAAGTACTCCCGCCATCTATGCTTAATCTCCTTGTCCTTCACCAAGAGTTGGCCTGCTCTGTCCTTGATGCATTTGACTTGGCCAATATCCCTCGTCTTCCTCTCTCGGATCTTGGCCATCTTATAGATGTCCCTTTCGCCTTCCTTCGTGCCTAACCGTCGGAACAGCACCTAATCACTACTAAAATAAAATTTGACCCTAGCTCCAAGTAGCTCCACCCCTGCTTTCTGTCCTTTTTTGCACATTCATTCATTTTGTAACTCCATTCTTTCTGCGGCTGTTAGTTATTGCTGATTTACATGTATCGCTCATAGAATCTGTCCAGCACTTACTTGCATGCATGTGAACAGTCTATCTTTGACATGGTTTCTCGCGTAGAGCTAAGCTTATTAATTGCCTGTTTAAAACTCACACTGCCTCATCAAATCCTCAGTTCTTGCTTCACATCATTGATGCCAGCTTCTCTGGTGACCGGCATCACCTGTTTGGTGGCTGATATGCGAAATTTTCCCGACTCTAAAGAACATGCCATTTTTCCACTTACCGGTGGCAGTGGGTTGTAATTTAGGCCAACTCCGTGTTTTTTAGGATCCCGTTGCAACTTCCAGGCTTCCCCAACTTCTCCGATTTGCACTGCGGCCCAACATAGTTTCGTGGAGCTGCTTTTGCAGCTGCAGTGTTCGACTCTGCTCCGTGCACGGAATTGGCGGAGCGGAGCTGGAGGAGTTCCAAACGGGCCCTAAGTAAATAATTTTAAAATTCCTTTTGAAGTTGACAGTTTGATTACGGATTATGTAATAAAGTGTAGATATAACCCATGAACATTTATAAAATGAACTAAAATAAAGCATGTTCGTACTCCATACCTCAAATGCGGTACGTGACCAACTGACATGGACCTTCTCTTTTGTCTAGCTGAGAGCATATGTGCACAAAGTACACTATTGTTTAAATATTTTTGTGAAGAAGGCTCTGAGATTGTTTACAAACGGACAATCTAAGTATTCAATAATATATTGCATTCACTTGTTCAAAAGTGCCAAAAGTTCCCTTAAGCTTCCGTAGTTAGAAGTGAATGGAGGCAGTATATGCTTTGGGCTAAGAGTGCGTAGCTGTGTAGGCTAAACAAACCAGCTTAGGGTACTCGTCGTAACTAGTAAGAAAGATTAACATTAACGAAATGGAAGAAAAATGATCAGCGCAGCCCTACCCCAAACATAATGCGAACATTTTGAAACACAACATTACTTTTAAGTTGTTTCAGTTTCATTTTCCAGCCAGTCACTGCATAAATCTATATTAAGGCTATGGCAGGTTGGTCATGTTCAAGAATTGCATCCTTGCATGAGCAAACTTGTGTTGGAGGTAAAGCTAAGAGATAAGTTGTTGTGGACTCCTTTTGGGGCCCACACATACCAGAGGTGTCGCAAGAAAATTGATGGCAGCAGCAGTTCTATTCCAGATGTAGCAGGTAGTGCATTAGGATCAGCAGCAGTAAACCAGAAGCCTAGGCAGTAAATAGCGTCCAGGTGAGAGTTGGTCTAGAGTCCTTACTGAAGGTTAGGAAACAATAGTTTAAAATAAGTATGCAATACCCCTGTAGGATACAAACTATCTTAGTCAACTATTGTTTCCTAGGTTAGTTCGGCTCTAGCCTAATATAAGAGGCAGCCCATGTGTACAAATGCCTTCCCCAAAGCAGACTCAGCTTCTGCCTCTCCTAACGCACGAAGGTGAGCACAAGTTATCACGTTACCCCATCAGGTCGAGACCTGTGATGTACAACCTTCTTTGCTCTCCCCATGAACTCCATCGAAAACTAGCCCATAACATATTGATCCATGAGCTAACCACTACTCTACCATGGCACACGGCGACGACAAGCAGACGACCATCATTCAGCAGCTCAAGCTGATTACCGAGCAACTCCAAGCCCTGCTCGCATCCTGGAACACTGGTAGAAACTAGGGTTCTACCTGGTCTAGGGCGTAGCCTGTAAGGGAAGGAGGGAGGAGGAGATTGCGCGGCGGCCGGGCGCCGTCCTTGCGGCTGGTGTAACGGCGGCGGACGCAAGAGGCAGCTAGGGTTTAGGTCTCCCGACTCCCTAAGGGAAGCCGAGCAAATATTGATTGCTTCTTGCTTGATTAGATTGATACATCTCCTTTCCTTATATAGAGAGGTTTACTTGACTCCTAAGCAAACGATCCTAATACGATAAGATAATTGGGCTAAGCCCCTAATATGCTGGTCATAACACTTCTCCCCGCCTCCACAAACAGCTCGTCCT